TTGGTTGAAATACAATTCTAGGAACTTGAGAAGGAGCCTGGTCAGCTGGCAGGTAGTTCAGTGCAGGCTTCTCCCTGGAGTGCAGTTGGTGTGAGAGACCCTTGTGTAAAAATGGCTGCTTGGCTCTGTTTTAAAATTCGAGCTCAGTCAAACTACCAGGAGCCCTTCTTGGTAAAGATCTTCTTTCTCAAGGGTCCACACGGGTTATGGGAAGAGTAGTTAATGAAGAGACTTAGAACAGGTGGAAGCAAGGTTGGAGGAACCTACAGGGGATGAAGCAGCTCTTGGAGTAGCAATGGTGGGTGGATGGGTGGGTAGCCCTTAGCACTCTGGGCCTGCATGGGACAGGGAGAGGCAGATTTTAGAACCCAGAAGTATCACCCTCCAGGAGCTATGGCCTTGGGGGAGCAGGGGCAGCCACCACCAACCCCATGCCTGGGAGGGAAGGAGAGAGAGGTGGGAAATGAACAGCCCAACCTTTCTCTCCCATCCTGGGATGTCCTATTAGAGGCTGCCATTGGAGGATGCTGGAACCTGGGGACACATTCTGGTGAGGTCAGTGTCCTCAGTGGAGAGCAGGATGGATCTGGGACAGGTACTGGCATGGTGGCCTACCTCTGCCTTGTTTCCTCCTACCACCAGACAAATTCCCAAGGACCATCATGGATGTGTGGACCTAGAGCAATGTCTTTAGGTACCTCACTGGGCACCAGAACTCAGTGTAATACACTGCTTAGATAGGCTTAATTGCATATATGTTGCTGTTCAGAGTGTCTGATCAGTGGTCACTTAGGTCAGCTAGCATTATAATCATCATCATCTTAAATAATATTATTATTGTTAATCCTCACTGGAGGATATTTTTTCCCATTGATTTTTAGAGAGAGTGGAGGGGAGGGAGGAAGTGAGGAGGAGAGAGAGAGAGAGAGAGAGAGAGAGAGAGAGATGTGACAGAGACACATTGATTAGTTGCCTCTTGTACACACCCCGATTGGGGCCAGGAATTGAACCTGCAACCCAGGTACAAGCCCTTGGCCGGGAATTGAGTAATTGTATTATAATTAACATGCATGCATTAGCCAGCTTTTTAGTTGTCAGGAATAGGGCAGAGATTGTGTAGGTTTTGCTTTGCCTCTCCCTGGGCCTGGTGAGCTCCCATCTTGGGAGTGTGCCTGTCCCCCACTCTCCACCCACAACATACACACCCATGGGCCCATGAACAATCTAGAGCAGTTGTAGAGATCTAACAGGGCCTCTTGAGGCTATGTCCTCACTTCTCTACACATCCACCTCCTCCAGATACATCCCAGCTGGCCCGCCCCCTCACGGATGGGCACACAACCTTTAGATAGTACCAGGGGCTCTGAGCAGGGCTCAGACCTCCACTCTCCCAGCTGAGGCCACAGTGGGAATGATCATGGGTTCCTAGTTCAGAGGTGAGCCTGGGAAACTCTGATCTCAAACACATCCTGCCACCATGAGTGGAAAAGGCATGTGGGCTTTGTGGGCCTGAGAGCCCCCATGTCCTGTGTGACATCTTAGGGTGACCAGGGCTCGGTGTTTTTTAAGAGGAGTTGAATTTTCATGTGCACATTTCCCATTAGTAACTATTTTAAAACTAAAAACCCACCATGTGGGATAAACAAGTGTAGTCATGGGCTAGATAGTACCTGTAGCCTCCTGGCCAGCGCCAAAGGTGTGGTAGAACCTCTTGACTGTACACAGATGTGGAATCGAGATTCAGAGAGGCAAGGGCCTTGCTTAGATTTGCATAGCAAACGAAGAAAACATAAAGTCAGGCTCTAATGTTCCTCATCATCACTCTGGTACTGGCGCAGGGGTGAATCCAAGATATGGAATCACCTGAGTATGGGCAGAGCATGATGTGGGGGATGGGGTCCAAGGGCCAGGCCCAAGGCCAGGTCACTGTGGGGGCTAAGAGGGTGAGCAGACCTAGTGGACTGACTTGTAGGAGAATGCTCGGTGGGGTGGGTTGGGTATAGCGGGCCTGGCTCACAACGAAGGTCCTCTGGGAGGAGCCTGCCAGCCTCTGGTGGGAATATTTCCCTCTTAGGATGTGTTGTTCACATGAGTGTGTGATGAATGGAAAGGCAGAAGGAGGGTGGGAGGAAGATTGAGGTCTGAAAATGTTTCTTTTCTTTTTTCTTTTTTTAAAACAATATTTTATTGATTTTTTACAGAGAGGAAGAGAGAGGGAGAGAAAGTTAGAAACATTGATAAGAGAGAATCATCGATCAGCTGCCTCTTGCACACCTTCTACTGGGGATGTGCCCACAACCAAGGTACATGCCCTTGACCGAAATCGAACCTGGGACCTTTCAGTCCGCAAGCTGATGCTCTATCCACTGAGCCAAACCAGTTTCAGCGAAATGTTTCTTTTTTTAAATGACACTCTTGAACATTGACTCAGGGCCTCGGTGCTGTCCACTACACCTCCATGGAGAATCGCTGACTTTGTTACTGTTGACAGCAGGCCTAGTTCACCTGAGACCGATTCTGAATCAACTTGGCTGTATGGAGCCCTCCACCTTCCTGGAGTGGCTTCTCAGCTTGGGGGATATGCATGTTACCTCTTGGAGTTCAGCAACTCCCCTGGCCCCTGGCCTGGGCGTAGACTCCTGTCCCTGGTAGCATTCTTACCAACTTTACTTGGATGATCCCTGGGCTTCTCAAACTCAGTACTGCCAAACTGAGCTGCATGTCTCCCCTATGGATCCATAGCCATCCTTCCATAGCCTTCCCTGCCTCAGGAAGCGGCAGCTCCATCCTAGGTGTTTCGGCCAAAACCTGGGCTCATCATAGACTCCTTTCCTGTTACACCCATCCAGTCTAGCAGCAAATTCTGTCAACTCTACTTCAGAATTCCCCTGTCCACTGTCCTCTCCCATCTCCTATGACTGGCTTCTCGGCTCTGGCCCGGCTCCTATGTTTTCAACAAAGCAGCCCTAACAGAGTCCCATCAAGTCATTTCAGGCCATGGCTTCCAATAGCCCACACTGTAACCTAAATCTCGCATGATCTGGCTGCCACCACATTCACCTTTGCTCATTTCACTCAGCAGTGGTAATGTTCTACTGTTCCTCACCTCCCTCCTTCTGATCCTGCCCCAGGTCCTTTGTAGTTGCTATTCCTGCCGCCTGACATACTTTGCCTACAGACATACAGGTGGTTGTCTCCATTGATTCACTCAGATCTTAACTCAAATGCCACTTCCTTAGAGAATCCTTATTTGACCACCCTGGCTAAAATAAACTATTTCACACCCAAAGCCAGCAGCCACTCCATCCTAGTCACTCCTTGTCCCATTAACCTGCTCTCATTTATTTATTTCTTCATTGTACTTATCACATTCAGAAACCCACTGACTTGCTGTGGGTTTATGACCTCCCTGCCTACATCAGAGGGTCAGTGCTAGCAGAATAGCCATGAAGTCTGTCTTATCCTATGTAATAATAGAGATAATATGCAAATTGACCATCACTCCAATGCACAAGATGGCCGCCCCCATGTGGTCAAAGATGGCCACCCCATGTGGACACAAGATGGCTGGCAGTAGAGGGCAGTTGTGAGTACCAGGCCTGCAGGGGAGGATATTTGGGGGGAACCCAGGCCTGCAAAGGAGGGCAGTTGGGGGAGACCATGGCAGCAGGGGAGGGCAGTTAGAGGTGACCGGGCTGGCAGAGGAGGGCAGGTAGGGGCAATCGGACCTGTAGTGGAGGGCAGTTGGGGAGGACCAGGCTTGTAGGGGAGGGTAATTGGGGGCAACCAGGCCAGTAGGGAGAGCAGTTAGGGGTGATTAGGCCAGCAAGGGAGGGCAGTTAGGGGCAATCATGCTGGCAGGGGAGGGCAGTTAGGGGAGGGCAGTTAGGGATGACCAGGCTGGCAGGGGAGGGCAATTGGGAGTTACAAGGCCTGCAGGGGTGGGCAGTTGGGGGTGACCAGGCCTGCAGGGGAAGACAGTTAGGCATGACCAGGTCAGCTGGAGAGGGCAGTTAGAGGTGACCAGGCCTACAGGGGAAGTCAGTTAGGGGCAATCGGGCCAGCAGGGGAGCAGTTAAGCATTAATCAGGCTGGCAGGATAGTGGTTAGGGGGTGATCAGGTTGGTAGGCAGAAGCAGTTAGGGGCAATCAGGTAGGCAGGCAGGCGAGTGGTTGGGACCCAGCAGTCCTGGATTGTAAGAGGGGTCTCAGATTGGAGAGGGTGCAGGCTGGGCTGGGAGGCTTACCCCCTCCCCACGTGCACGAATGTTGTGCATCGGGCCTCTAGTGTCTCTCTATAAAACTCTAATATCCAAATCGACTGAACGGTCACTATGATGCGCACTGATCACCAAGGGGCAGATGCTCAAGCAGGAGCTGCCCCCTGGTGGTTAGTGCACTTCCACAGGGGGAGCGCCACTCAACCAGAAGCCAGGCTCATGGCTGGCAAGCACACCAGCAGTGGTGGGAGTCTCTCCCACCTCTGCGGCAGCTCTAAGGATGCCCGACTGCTGGCTTAGGCCTGCTCCCCCGAGGACTCCTGGGCTGTGAGAGGGCACAGGCAGGGCTGAGGGACCTCGCACCCTGAGTGCATGAATTTCATGCACTGGGCCTCTAGTTTACTAATAAACCCCAAGTTCTAGAAGGCTTCATGCACAGAGGATTTGCTCAGTCACTGTGAGCTGAGTGGCTGGCAGAGGCAGACCTTTATTCCTGGCTGTGCCAGACACTAAGTGGCCATTGTTCTGTCATTGCCTTGCCAGACACTGTGCTTGGGGACATGGGGACATGGGGATAAGTGCATGTGTGTGAGTGAGTGAAAGAGCCTGAGGCTTCATCCAGCCATGTGCAGATGTGTGCCTGGACAGTGCATGTGTTTTCATGTGTAGGCCCCATATGGTGCTGACAAGTGTCCTTTCTGATTCCCCTAGGGCCTTGCAGGAGAGGGGACCTTTTGGCTCGAAGTGGCACCTGGGCTGCTCCTGGGCTGGCTGTGGACCATGGTGATGTTCTGGGAGCCTGTAGGAGCCTGGTTGGCGCTGGCCCTGGCCCTGGGCGCCAGCACTGGTGAAGCAGCCCCACGGCAGGACTGCACAGGTGTCGAGTGCCCACCGCTGGAGAACTGCATCGAGGAGGCGTTGGAGCCGGGCGCCTGCTGTGCCACGTGCGTGCAGCAGGGTTGTGCCTGCGAGGGCTACCAATACTATGACTGCCTGCAGGGTGGCTTTGTGCGTGGCCGTGTACCCGCAGGCCAGTCCTACTTTGTGGACTTTGGCAGCACTGAGTGTTCCTGCCCACCAGGTGGCGGCAAGATCAGTTGCCAGTTCATGCTGTGCCCTGAGCTCCCACCCAATTGCATTGAAACTGTTGTGGCAGCTGACAGCTGCCCGCAGTGTGGCCAGGTGGGCTGTGTGCATACTGGCCGCAAGTATGCTGCTGGTCACACAGTACACTTGCCACCATGCCAGGCCTGCCACTGTCCTGACACCGGTGGTGAGCTCATCTGCTACCAGGTCCCCAGTTGCCATGGAGATGCCAAGGCCATGCCCACTGCCACCAGTGGGAATTTCTCAGATGCTGAGGAGAGTGAACCTGAGCGGCACTATGAAGACCCCTACAGTTATGACCAGGAGGTGGCTGAAGCAGAAGCTGTAGTGGCTTTGGCAGGCGAGCTTCAGGCAAGCACAGGAGCCCCAGCCACCCTGGGAGGAGGAAGTCAGCCACTGTCTGCCATCCAGGCCACACCTTGGCTGGCCGTTCTCCTCAGGCCAACAGCGGCTGCTGCCCTGGGTCCGCCAGCTCCTGTTCAAGCCAAAGCCAGGAGAGTTATGGAGGACAGCCAGGTGGCTGGGGGGGAGGAGAGAGAGGACATCGCTGTCAGGGAGCCACTGGCAGCAGGTGGCCTCAGGGGGCTTGATGCGCCTCCCAGTGCAGGCCCAGCCAGGCTCAGTCACCCTGTGCAAGAGGAGAAGTCAGATGCTAGGGCAGGGCCTGAAGATAATCTTATCCCAGATGCCCAGGCCATGCCACAAAGTACTGGACAGGGGGGAGCCAGCCCCATGCTGGGGTCAAGCACAGCCAGTTTCCTCCAGTCTCAGGCCACATCAAGTTCTCCCGGAAATCCAACAAAGCCCAGCAGCCACACCATCCTGACCACACCTCCCCATGAGGCCACCCAGGTCCTACCTATCCAGGAAGTGCCCAACCAGCCACCAGCTCTGCCCCATCTTCGGCCAGAGGAAGACACTGACCCCAACTCTGTCCATTCTGTCCCCAAAGGTGACCCTGAAGGTAAGCCTCTTTCTTAGTTTCTCCCTAGCAGTCAGTCCAGGGAAGGCAGCCCTGGGCCCTGTAACTGCCTAGGTCTCTGTACAGCTGCCTGGGTCAGGGGAAGCTAAGTCTGGGGGCCCTACACTTTAGGGCATGAGCTTAGATACCCTTTTCTCCTTGGCTTAGCTCTTGGGAATGGAGTGGGTGGGTGCAGGTGAGGTCCCTGTTGAAGTCAGTGCTGGGCTATCTGCATGGATTGGCTGTGATCAAAGTCCCAATAGGCACCCTCACAGGGTTGGGGTCCCTGAGGAGGGTCCTACTAAGTGCGGTGGGGCCTGGAGTGTCCACAGTACCCCAGCAGGAGGTGATGAGTTTCACATCCTTCCAGGTATGGCTGTGACCTTGGTCTCTGAGAAGACAGCCTAGGGCAGTGGTTCTCAACCTTTCTAATGTCACGACCCTTTAATACAATTCCTCATGTTGTGGTGACCCCCAACCATAAAATTATTTTCGTTGCTACTTCATAACTGCTAGCAGGGTCACCTAAGACCATCAGAAAACACGGATATTTACATTAGGATTTATTAACAGTAGCAAAATTATAGTTATGAAGTAGCATCGAAAATAATTTTATGGTTGGGGGTCACCACAACATGAGGAATTGTATTAAAGGGTCGTGACATTAGAAAGGTTGAGAACCACTGGCCTAGGGCACACAGTCTCACATGGGGACTCTTTTTGAAAGTCAAGGGCCATGTCCGGCACATATTCCAGTTGGTTCTGTTAACACACAGTTGTTCTCATTCCTCTGCTCTGCACTTGCTTTGGCTTCCACCTACTCAGTGTAGAATCCACAGCCCTCCCGGACCACAGGCCCTGCACAGCCTGCCTGTGACCTCTTACATCTCGCCTCCATCACCCTTGTCTCCATCTGTCTGATCTGTTATAACAACAACAACAAAAAATGCCATAGATTGGGTGACTTAAATGATAAACACTTATTTCTCACAGTTCTGTGGGCTGGGAATTCAAGGTGAAGGCTGGGTTGAGGGCCTACTTCCTGGTTTGCAGATGGCTAGCTTCTCATTGTGTCCTCATGTGGAGCAGGTGAGGATACATCTCATCTGAGATAACATTACATGAGGAGCAAACTCTTTCTTGTTTCTTTTTAGAAAGACACTGATTCCATCATGAGGACCTCATCACCCTCATCTGATCATGTCCCAAAGGCTTCATCTCCAATACTAATTATCCCATTGAGGATTAGGGTTTTAACATAGGTATGGGGTGGGGGTTAAACATTCAGTTCATAGCAACCCTTCCTTTTACTCACTGTGCTCAGCACCACTGACCTCCTGTCTAGATACCATAGCCAGCCCCAGAACCTCTGCACTTGCCACTTGCTCTTTCTGAAATGATCTTCCAGGTGTCCATTTGGTTCATCCCTTTCCTCCTTTCTGCTCTCTGCTCAAGGTCACCTTCCCAGAGAGGCTTTCCTTGGGCACCCAACTAAAAAAACATCATACCTTCCTCTTATCTTGCTATAATTTTTTTCTAGTAGAACATAATGCCATGGGCAGAGGGACCTCATCTGTCATCTTTCTGCTGTGTAACTGGAGCTTCCAGCAGAGCCTGGGTGAATGAATGAGTGAATCAATACAAGCTCGGTGGCCACCCCTCTAGCAGTCATCCCTCTCCTCCCTAATTCCCCTGCTGTCCCATGAAACCTGCATCATTGTCTTCCCTCTGTTCCACACACGTATTCACTGTTTTCAACGAGCACAGGTGTACCTCCTTTAGGAGCCTTCCTTGAATCTTTGTGTCTTGTTGATCCTCCCCTCAGCTCCATTTTCTTTATACCCACTGAGGGTGTTCTGGGGACTTACCTCATTGTCTAGTGATCAACCTCCACAACTAGGGGGTCTGTGTCTTGTTCAGTCCCATATCAATAACTCTACAAACCTTTATTAGGTATAAATAATGAACAGGTCTTGTGGGGTCTGGGGGAGGCAGGAATGGACCACTATGGGGGCTCCGATGGGGGGATGCCTGGGAGGTATCAGGGAAGGCTTCTTGGAGATTGGGGCATGAGGGGACTGTGGGTTTTCTGCAGCATTCCCATTCACCCACCCTGATGCCCACAGCTGTGTGGCCTTGGGCACGTCTCTTAATTGACCTGGGCCCCCTTTCCCATCTGTTAAGTGCTATAGGCCTTGCGAGGCAGCAGCTGTGTGCAAAGCCTGTGCACATGCAGGCTCCTCTGACCTGTAGTCCAGGTGGTCCAAAGGTCCAGAGGGCTCTGCGCCCAGCCTGCTTACAGAGGGTAGGCACACAGTTCATGCTCCAGGCCCTGTTTCTGTGACTTGATGCTCCCCCCAAGCCAGGGAGGTATCTTTCTGCTCATTTCAAGGTCAGAGAGATGTTCCTAGTGGCTCCAGATCACAGAATGGGAGTGGTGGGCTGGGACCAGGACCTTATGCTTCAGGGATCTCCTTCCCACCAGGCCCAGGGCTCATGGGGAGTGAGGAGTATGTGTGGGCTGAGATACGGCTGTAATGAGAAGGCTTGGGAACTGGCTCCAGAGCATGTAGCCCCTAGAGTTTCCAAAATAGACTCAGCCCTGCCCTCTACCCACTTCTTGCCTGTAGAATCCTGGATAATTGCTTTCTTCTCAGATCCCTGGTTTTTCCTTTTCTTTTCTGTTCTGGGCTTTCTCAGTGGATTTTTGGAGTTTGGCCTTTGATGAGGCTGCTTGTGGGTAGTGGTCTCTGATTGAGTGCCCCTTACCGCCTGTGAAGTCTGTCCTTCCCCTCACACATGCACAGAGAACGATCAGGGTATGAGGATGTATCGGCTGCTGCAGCTTTTGGTGCGTGGGGAAGGAAGGAATGGGAGGCTGATATGGGGGTGGGGGGAAGGGGTGGCTTTAAATGGGACCCAGTAGCTTGGCCATGGTCAGATACACAAAGACTGACTTACCATCCATCACCCTCATATATCCTTTGTCCTTACCCAGTATCCACCTGTCACCTGTGTAACTTAGATGTATGGCTTATCTTTTTGTGCCCAAGTTTTGTCATCTTTAAGCAGCAGAGAAGTGCTTCATGGGGCTGTTGTTTTTTTAATCCTTATCTGAGGATATTTTTTTCCTTTTTTTTTTTAATTTTTTTTTTTTTTAATTTTTTTTTTTTTTTTTAGAGAGAGAGTAGAGGGAGGGAGAGAGGGAAAAAGGGAGGGAGGGAGGGACGGAGGGAGGAAGGAGGAGGAGAGAAATAGAAAGAGAGAGGTGAGAAAGACACAAAGAGAGATATGAGAGAGACACACTGATTAGTTGCCTCCTACATATGCCCATGTACGTGTCCTTTTCATGTCCAGTGCTTGGTAGGGAACTTAGTACTTGCTGAGTAGTTAAAATATTAGCCATTATTACTCATTATCCTTCTTCAGTTTGTTCATCTCTTCAACAGTTATTTAGGGAGTACTCTGTGCCAAAAGCAGTGTAGTGAGAAAGGCAGACACAGCCCTCTCTATCTGAGATCTCCTTGGAGAGGAGGAATTGAGCTGATAGGCACACACGTTGTGAACACATCCGTGGTCACAACCATGTACAGGGGAGTTGGTAGGAGGCCTGATAGGGGCTGGGTTGTGTATCCAGTTGAGCATCTTGGGAGAAGTGGGGTCTTGGAGGTCCCTGACTGCTGTTGTGGGAGAGGACTTGGGGGGTGGAGGGTTCCCAGTGATGGAAGAGTCCTTTGTGAGGAGAAGCTGGGGAGGTGGCTTTGCCCTGTTTGACTGGGGGCCTGCTGAGAGATGGGACATGGGGCTGGAAATGACTCCCAGCCCTGTTGCCATGGTAGCCCTTGGGCCCAGAGAGGTTTCTAAACATTGCCCGAGGCCTGGCTGGGGCAGAGGTAGGGGAAAGCAGGGTGTGTGTGTGAGGGTGGGGGGTGGGGTGGGGAGGGCGGTTCCTGTCTTTGAGCGGAACCCTGCCAGGGATCCAGGCTGCCTCTGAGCATGTCCAGATGCGGCCTAATGGAAGCCACATGCCTGCTCTGTGGGCCTGGCAGAGGGGTGTGATGGTTGTTGTCATTCAGGGGGCTTTGTGAGGGGGATTTCTATTGCTGGGCTGGCATGATGAAGGGGGTTGGTAAGCACACCATCTCTAACCTCTGCTGCCCTCCTGGGCCACGGGGTGAGAACCCTGGGAAGTTGAGACTCTCAGAGCATCCGGAGGCAGCGTCCTCCTGGAAAAGACTCCAGCATCACCTCTGCAGGTCTCAGGGCCGCAGCAGGAAAGAAGCCCCTTCCTCAAGGCCTCAGTTAATTAGATTCTGCAGGGCAGGGGTCTCTCAGTGCTTTGACAGTCTGAAGCTATTTAAACTCAAATAACTTTATGCTAATCATAGACACCATATAGTGCTTATGCCTATGCCAGGCACCTTTGTAAGCTCTGTGTGATTATTAACTCTTTAATTCTCATAGCCACTCTCTTAGTTTACAGAGGGGATTCAGGCCACTTGCCCAAGGACACATGTGTAGGAAGTGGTGGGTCTAGATTCCAAAACTTACTCAGGAAGATACTAAAAATCTCAATAGGCTGATATAGTTAGAAGAAATTGAAGCAGTCATCAAAAAGCTTCCAGCAAACAAAAGCCCAGGGCCAGATGGTTTCACAGGGGAGTTTTACCAAATATTCAGGGAAGAACTGAAACTGATCCTCCTCAGACTATTTAAAAAAATTCAAGAAAAAAGGAACACTTCTAAGCTCCTATGAAGCCAGCATCACCCTACTACCAAAACCAGATAAAGACAACACAATGAAAGAGAATTACAAACCAATATCCCTCATGAACATACCAGTAGATGCCAAAATCCTCAACAAAATTCTAGCAAATCAGATCTAGCAGTACATCAGAAATATCATACAACATGACCAAGTAGGATTTATCCTGGGGATGCAAGGATGGTACAATATTCTCAAATCAATAAATGTGATACATCACACAAACAAATTGAGAGAT